GTTAAGCCCTATCCCTCCCTTCCATTTGTGTCTGAGAGTCAACAGTATTGTATGTAGGAATCACTTGGTCATTGCTGTGTGCATAGCATTTCACTGCATGGATATCTAGTGTAATTATCCACACTGCTGTTGGTGAGTGTATCAGGGAATGTTCAGTCATTTGAACAGAGTAAATTTGATATAAAAAGTTATTAACTATAGGGGTGCCTGGGTGGCCCAGTCAGTTGAACGTCCGATTCTTTTTTTTTTTTTAATTTATGACAGTCACAGAGAGAGAGAGAGAGAGAGAGAGAGAGAGAGAGAGAGGCAGAGACACAGGCAGAGGGAGAAGCAGGCTCCATGCACCAGGAGCCCGACGTGGGATTCGATCCCGGGCCTCCAGGATCGCGCCCTGGGCCAAAGGCAGGCACTAAACCGCCGCGCCACCCAGGGATCCCTGAACGTCTGATTCTTGATTTCAGCTCAAGTCATGATCTCAGGGTTGTGAGATGGAGCTCCACATCTGACTCTGTGTTCAGTGGATAAAGATTTATAAATAAATCTTTAAAAAAAGTTTTTACCTATAACAGTTATAATTCTAATAACTATACCTCTTAAAATCCTAGGGCTGAGAGCGTGCCCAAAGAATAAGAGCCAGTGCCCTCTACTGACAAAGCCAACAAAGTGTTGACTGCAAAGGAGAAATGGCTACAGGGTCCAGCCCACTACTGCAGAACAGGTAATATATGGAACAGAGAGGCAATAAATTGATAGCTGCAGTGGGCTAGGGCTGTTTACTGATTTTTTTTTTTTGCTTTTATAGATAGTTGCTCTAAATGTTTCTGGACTTGTCTTATTTTTAATTTTTTATTTATTTATGATAGTCACAGAGAGAGAGAGAGAGAGAGAGAGAGGCAGAGACACAGGCAGAGGGAGAAGTAGGCTCCATGCACCGGGAGCCTAATGTGGGATTCGATCCCGGGTCTCCAGGATCGCGCCCTGGGCCAAAGGCAGGTGCCAAACCTCTGCGCCACCCAGGGATCCCTGGACTTGTCTTTTGGTTCTCATAAGCATTCTTTTTTTAAAAAAAGATTTTATGAACTATTGGGACTTCATCAAGATAAGAAGCTTTTGCACAGCAAAGGATACAGTCAACAAAACTCAAAGACAACCTACAGAATGGGAGAAGATATTTGCAAATAACATATCAGATAAAGGGCTAGTTTCCAAAATCTATAAAGAACTTATTAAACTCAACAGCAAAGAAAGAAACAATCCAATCATGAAATGGGCAAAAGACATGAAGAGAAATCTCACAGAGGAAGACATAGACATGGCCAACATACACATGAGAAAATGCTCTGCATCACTTGCCATTAGGGAAATACAAATCAAAACCACAATGAGGGATCCCTGGGTGGCGCAGTGATTTGGCGCCTGCCTTTGGCCCAGGGCGCGATCCTGGAGACCCGGGATCGAATCCCACATCGGGCTCCCGGTGCATGGAGCCTGCTTCTCCCTCTGCCTGTGTCTCTGCCTCTCTCTCTCTCACTGTGTGCCTATCATAAATAAATAAAAATTTAAAAAATATATATATATAAAAAAAAAACCACAATGAGATACCACCTCACACCAGTGAGAATGGGGAAAATTAACAAGGCAGGAAACAACAAATGTTGGAGAGGATGCGGAGAAAAGGGAACCCTCTTACACTGTTGGTGGGAATGTGAACTGGTGCAGCCACTCTGGAAAACTGTGTGGAGGTTCCTCAAAGAATTAAAAATAGACCTGCCCTACGACCCAGCAATTGCACTGTTAGGGATTTACCCCAAAGATTCAGATGCAATGAAACGCCGGGACACCTGCACCCCAATGTTTCTTTTTTTTTTAATTTTTTTTTATTATTATTTATTTGTGATAGTCATACAGAGAGAGAGAGAGAGAGAGAGAGAGAGAGAGAGAGGCAGAGACACAGGCAGAGGGAGAAGCAGGCTCCATGCACCGGGAGCCCGACGTGGGACTCGATCCCGGGTCTCCAGGATCGCGCCCTGGGCCAAAGGAAGGCGCCAAACCGCTGCGCCACCCAGGGATCCCCACCCCAATGTTTCTAGCAGCCATGTCCACAATAGCCAAACTGTGGAAGGAGCCTCGGTGTCCATCGAACGATGAATGGATAAAGAAGATGTGGTTTATGTATACAATGGAATATTACTCAGCCATTAGAAACGACAAATACCCACCATTTGCTTCAACGTGGATGGAACTGGAGGGTATTATGCTGAGTGAAGTAAGTCAATCGGAGAAGGACAAACATTATATGTCCTCATTCATTTGGGGAATATGAATAATAGTGAAAGGGAATATAAGGGAAGGGAGAAGAAATGTGTGGGAAATATCAGAAAGGGAGACAGAACATAAAGACTTCTAACTCTGGGAAATGAACTAGGGGTGGTGGAGGGGGAGGAGGGCGGGGGTTGGGGGTGAATGGGTGACGGGCACTGAGGGGGACACTTGACGGGATGAGCACTGGGTGTTATTCTGTATGTTGGTAAAATGAACACCAAAAAAATTAATTTATTAAAAAAATAATAAAATAAAATAAAATAAAAAAAAGATTTTATCCTCTGCCTTTCTGTATCTCTCTCGAATAAATAAGCAAATCTTTAAAGAAAAGGGGTGGGGGGAATGCCTGGGTGGCTGTGAGGTTGAGTGTCTGCCTTTGAATCTGGGCGTGATCCTGGGATTTGGAAGTCCCAGAGTCAGGTTCCCTGCAGGGAACCTGCTTCTCCCTCTGACTATGTCTCTGCCTCTCTATGTGTCTCTCATGAATAAATAAATCTTTTTTTAAAAAAAGATTGGGGGATCCCTGGGTGGCGCAGCGGTTTGGCGCCTGCCTTTGGCCCAGGGCGCGATTCTGGAGACCCCGGATCGAGTCCCACGTCGGGCTCCCGGTGCATGGAGCCTGCTTCTCCCTCTGCCTATGTCTCTGCCTCTTTCTCTCTCTCTCTCTGTGTGTGTGTGTGACTATCATAAAATAAATAAAAATTAAAAAAAATTTAGTTCTTTAAAAAAAAAAAAAAGATTGGGATCCCTGAGTGGCTCAGCGGTTTAGCACCTGCCTTCGGCCCAGGGCGTGATCCTGGAGACCCGGGATCGAGTCCCACATCAGGCTCCCTGCATGGAGCCTGCTTCTTCCTCTGCCTATGTCTCTGCCTCTCTCTCTCCTCTGTGTCTTTCATGAATAAATAAATAAAATATTTTTTAAAAAAAGATTTTATTTGAGAGAGAGTGAGTGAGCAAGTGGAAGGAGGAACAGAGGGAAAGAGACCAGCTGACTCCATGCTGAGCACAGGGCTCAACATGGGGCTCGGTCTCATGACCCTGATGAGATCATGACCTGAACCAAAATAAGTATTCATTTCTGTTGGGTGCATACCAAGGAGTGGAATTGCTGAGTCACAGTTTACATAGATCTAGCTATAGTAGATACTGCCAAGGTTGTCAAAAGTTATTATTCGTTTCATTTATTTTTAATAATTTGTTGAAAAACACTATCACCATTTTATTCCACACTCCATTCATCACTGGATGCAGACCAGTTTTACATTTTTAGCCATGAACAGTACTAAACCCATTAACAATACATGGTTGTATTGGTTTTCTATGCTGTTTAACAAATTGCCACAAACTTAGTGGCTTAAAACATCTATTTATTAGCTCACTGTTCTGTAGGTCATAAGTCTGGGAGACACTGGCTAGGTTCTCTGCTCAGACTATCACAAAGCTGAAATCAAGATGGGCTGCACTAGGCTCTTATCTGGAAGACATTGGAATGATCTGCTTCCAAGCCCATTCAAGTTGTTGGCAGATTGCAATTATGGTTGTAGGACCAAGGTCTCTGTTTCTTTGCTAGTTGCTAGCCAGGGGTTGTTCTTACCTTCTGGAGGCCAGGGCATGGCTCCCTCTATCTTCAAAGCCAGCAATGGTACATCAAATCCTTCTCATGCTTCAACTCTTTTGGACTTCCTTTTCTGTCACCAGCCAGAGAAAACTCCATGCTTTAAAAGGGTTCATGTGATTGGGCCACACCCACTGGGATCATCTCCCTATTTTTTTAAAATTTTATTTAGTTATTCGAGAGAGAGAGAGAGAGAGAGAGAGAGAGAGAGAGGTAGAGACACAGGCAGAGGGAGAAGTAGGCTCCATGCAGGGAACCCGACGCATGACTTGATCCCAGGTCTCCGGGATCAGGCCCTGGGCTAAAGGTGGTGCTAAACCACTGAGCCACCTGGGCTGCCCTCATCTTCCTATTTTAAGGTCAACTATGCCATATAACATAACCCCATCACAAGAGTGATAGCTGATCATATTCACAGGTCCCAATTCTGAACTTCCTAATACTTGTTATCAACAGGTTTAGGTTTTTTAAGTAATCTCTACCCCTAACATGACCCTGAGATCAAAAGTCACATGCTCTTCTGACTGAGCCAGCCAAGTGCCTTACTGTCGAGTTTTTATTTGCTATTTTGAAGACTGAGCAATCCATGCATACCAAGCATAATGCCAGGAATAGGGTATGTGAACATGGTAGGCCAGGCCCCGCCTTCATGGCACTGGTATTTCCCTGATTACTTTTGAGCATGTATGTTTTTTCTGGTTTGTTGGTAAAGTTTTTTCTGATGTGAATTACTGATTCATAGCCTTTATCCACCTTTCTATTAGGTTTTTAGTCATTTTCTTACTGGAGTTAAAAAATATTTTCTGTTGAATTGCTTGGTGTTCTAGGGGGAGGGGAGGACTTGGAATTGGCTCAAGGAATCCTGTGTTGTTTTAAGGCAAAAACAAAACTAAACTCCCATGCTCTCTAAATGCAACAATTACACTTTGGGAAATAACCAAAGTTGCATCCAAAGCATCCGCTTGGGAGTGTGCATCACAGGTACTGGGTACCACTGGGAAGAACAATCTGGGGTTGGTAGAAAAGACAGTATAGGACAGAAAATGGAATTTTTAACCAGGCATTAAAATATGTTTTTAATAACAGGGAAATGAGGGAGTGAGAAGAGCACGATATATACAGTAGCTCCATAAGATTTATAAAACACTTCTGCATGTGAACACCTGGAATAGGTACTGCCATAGACAGAACTAGGGGTCATTTACCTTATCTTTACTCTCTTGTACATTTCAGATTTGTCTAAATGAACACAAGCTACTTTTAAATCACATGGCCAAAGAGACATCTGTTTATAGACCCTTTTCTCAGACGCCACCCTCCTTGTCCATCCAAACTTGCAAAGGAAGTCCCTGTAGTGTCCACTCAAGCTAGGATTCAAGAGCTTAAAGGACAAGGAAACCAGGGAGTGACATGTGTGGTCAAGAAACAAAGTGGGCCAGTAGAACAGGACTGCTGGCCCTTTCTGTGGGTATGGCTGCTCTGTGGCTCCAGCTGCCAGGCAGGAGGAGTGGCACTGCTGATACTCTGACCAGTAGAAAGCAGAGATCAGGATTCTTAGGCAGAAACTTCCCATTATAAAAGTGGAATTTCTTAAAAATCCAAATGTGGAGAGTCATTAGTTTTCCATCTGCCTGCAAACAGAAGCAAGGCATGCTCTCCTGAGCTTTTTGTACCTTCCACACCAAGATGCAGGCCCAACAGCTTCAGGAGTGAAAAGGAGCAGTTTCTGAGCATCCACCTGGGGCCAACAAAATCCCAGGGGTAGGGACAGTCCTTAGGTCCTGTCTGCCTATATATCATAAGGTCATAGTTGGGGATCTCAAAATTTGGAAATCACCAGACTTAGGCAGTGGATTCCAACCCAAGCCTCACCAGGCGGTTGGGGGAGGGACAGCTTCTTTTATTTATACCCAGGTGGCTGTTTTGGGAGACTGAAATACGGGCAGGGGAGCCTCGTGGGAGCTCTGATTCACGAATGTCCTCTGCTGCCTACAAGTGTCCAGACAGAGGCTCAGCAGCCCTGGGAAGGCTGGAACCAGAGTACCAGGAACTGTGTCAAGCCCTGGAGGCTCCAAGGCCCCCAAGATGAGGCTGCCTTCTCAAGACACTCATGGGGCTTCGGGCTGGTGGCTCTTCCTGTGGATGACCAGCTGGGACTTCCAATCAAAGCCACGGCCACAGTCTCCACAGAAGTGGCGCCGCTGGCCTGCATGGCTCTTGCGGTGGATGACCAGCTGCGACTTCCAGCTGAAGCTGCACCCACACTCCTCACATGCATAACTCCGGGGGCATGGGAGCACGCGTCGGGGGTGACGTGGTGTGCCTGGCTCCCGGGAACCCTGTGGCAGCTTCTGAGCACCACCCACAGCCAGCGCTGGTGCCTGTGTACCCTGCCCATCTGCATGTGTCCGATGGTGGATGACAAACACCGATTTCCAGTCGAAGCCTCGGCCGCACAGCTCACAGGTATAAGGCTTCCTCCGAGGGGCGCCAGGCTCCAGCCCTGCTCCCAGCACTGCCCTGGCAGACATAGAGGCCACAGACGGGCCCTCCCAAGTAACAGACCCCAAGCCCCGGGGTGGCTGGTCCTCTGGGCAGCGGGATGGACCCTCACAGTGGCTCTCATTCTCATCTCCTGAGGGAAGGAGAGGTGGTAGTCCCAGGTAGCTCAGTGCCCTTAACATTGGCCCACCCTCTCCCATGAGGCGTGTGGGGCAGACAAGCTCCCTTCCACCAGAAAACAGGTGGTTCAGGTCGCATGGAAAAACACTCACCCAGGTGGAGGCTTCTTAGACTCCTTGTACGCAATGCCCCTGGCTCCAACTCAGCCTGTGCCTCTGGCTGGGGGGCTGGTATTCCTGCTGGGGTGAGGGACAGTCAGGTAGCAGTCCTGACATGGGGGCAGGTGAAGGGCTCTTACATGTTAGGGCCAGGGGCGGGGGCCCTGGTGGGTGACGGGGTGCCCCTAGGTAAGAAGCATGAATACAGGTAAGCACTGGGAGACCTGCATGGGAAAGGGCTGGGAAGCGAGCCCTACAACCAGGGCAGTATGCAGACAGTAAAAGAGGGGTCATGGCTGGTCCTCACCCAGGGAGACCACCGTGCCGTATTTCTCCAGCATTGCATCCCAGTACAATTCCTTCTGTGACGGGTCCAGTAGCCCCCACTCCTCCTGTGGGGATGCAGCCCATCACTCTTGGTGCCTGTCCACTCCCCCATCCTCTGCCCTGCCCTGCAGTGCCTACCTGCCCGTGTCCCTGGTTACAATCTTACTAATTACCTGAGGGAACAGGCAGGTCATTACCTAAGGCTCTTCTGCTTGCTAAGGATGAAGCTGAGAAGGGTGTGTGAAGGCTGGGAAATAGGGCAGAGAGGAGCTGTCCTTCATCTCACTGTTAGGACCTGTCCCCCTCAGAAGCCCGCCCCACTCCATATTCTAGCCAGGCAGCTGAGAACCCCTGGATAGGTTCTGTGTGGAAGTGACTGTCCCTACACCCTTGCCTTGAACAGTGCTGCATCAAGAACAAAAGGCCTGGGGACCCAAGGGAACCCAGCCACCTCTCCCCAAGCCTCTGGTTACAAAAGTAACAGAGATCCTCCTTGGGGGAGCTGCTGAGGGCTATCAGCATTCCTCGATGTGGTGACCTGGCTGCAGAGAGGTTGAAGGCAGAAGGGCTTACATTAGGAGGTACAGCCATCTCAGGGCTCAGATGATGTGTGTTAATGGGGTGGTGGGCTGGCTCCTGCCTGTTGCCGAGGGTGGGCTTTACCAGGAGATGCACTCCCTGTCCCTGGTGTCTGCTCTCTTTGTCTCCCAAAATTCCATCACGTGCGCTTTGCTGGGATGGGAAAAATAATCCTGACAAACAAGCCACTGCAGGTCCACAGACAGGGAGGTGACAGCCACATGAAGCCACAGGTGGAATGCTGCTGGCTGGAGGCTTTGGAGGGTGTGGCCTGGCTACCCAGCTGTTTCCCACTGTGCCATCAGACTGTGGAGGGAGCCTGGAGGGACTTTTTAGCCTCCAAACACATCTCAACCAGATCTTCCACTGGGAACATTACCCAGTGGAGTAGCTTAGGAGCTAAGTTGCTGGGAGAGGACAGGATCACTGCTCTCCACATTCAGGAACCAAGTACTCCAGGTAACAGGGCCTCAGCCAAGCCTTGATGCCCCCAGCTGGTCGCAGCCCAGAGGATGGATGGCCTCTGAGGAAAGACCCAGGAAAGAGGTAGCTGCAGGTTATTTCCTAGCTATCTCCATTCTGATCTCAGGTGTGCTGGGGATACCAGACTGCTATGAGTTGTAGCTCAGGCTTTCTGGTCAGAGTTCTTCATCTTGACCTCTCCCCACTTGCACATGAGGGTTCAAATCCTCATGCACCAGCTTAAGACTGCTGAGAGCTTAAAAATCTCCGATTTCTCTGTAATTGAGAAAGCCAATTCTTACCAGTTCCAGTCACTCTAAACCAGATTCCTTGGCCCGAAGCCTCAATTTTTTCCCCAATTTTAGGGAGACCACCAGCCTGTCCCTGTCTCCCAGGACCTGCAGGAGGAGCTCTGATACCAACTCCATTTTTGGGCAGCGAAGAGCACAAAGCTGTGGCCAAAAAGCCTGAAAAACTAACGAGAGCAGAGTGGCCACCAAGGACATACTTCTTCTACTGGCTACCTGTACCTCCCACCTAGGGCTGCTTACCTGAATCCTGGGTGGGTGGAAGGATGTGGAAGTTGGTTCCCTGTGTCCAGGGTGTCCCTCTCGGGACTGGGCTGGATTTTGGGGGCTGGAAGGTGCTAGAAAATGAGGCAGATGAGAATCAGAGGCTGCTCATGTGAGCCACAGTACATGAGGTGGTGTTGGTGCTGCAGCCTTGGCCTTCCTCTGCCAACAGGCAGGAGGCTACTGTGTGTGCCAGTCACATAGCAGGCAGGCAGCCCTCCTGCCTCCTGAGAACCCAGTTCTACAGTCTGCAGTCTTTTCTGAATCCCCATCCCATTGGGGGACATTCACATTCCCTCTAGGAGGCCCCCCAGCACAATTTCTCCTGGGATCCCCACCCTTATTATGGATGTCCACACAACCCCCAAGAGCCCCCCAGACCTTGTGTGGCTCCCATTCTCACCCATCTCCTGCCCATCAGCATCTGGCTCCTCCTTCACACTGCAGCTAAGCTGGGCAGACCGCTCCATCTGAGTGTCCTGTGATCCCTCCCCAGAGGTGGCACTGAGGAGCTCCACTGTCCCTAAGGGGTGGGATCTCCCCAAGGACTCCTCTGTCTTCTGTGCTGTTGGGAGCACCACTTGCTTCAGGACATGGGCTGTGATCTGAGGGGGAGAAATAAGTCACAGGGGCTCTAAATTTGCTTTGTCCCTCCAAGAAACCAATACTAGCCACACTCACCCAGCCCAGCAGCTGCCCAGGGTCATGCTGCAGGCCCTCAACCAGGGCTACAGCCTCCTCAGGGCTGCCTGGCCGCTGGCCCCGCACCCAGGCCTGAATCTCAGGAGGCAGTGTGCCCAGAAACTGCTCCAGCACCAGCAGCTCCAGCATCTGCTCCTTGGAGCATGCCTCCGGTCGCAGCCACTGGTGGCACAGCTCTCGAAGCCGGGCCAGGGCCTCACGGGGACCTGCCACCTCCTGGTAGCAGAATCCCCGGAAGCGCAGGCGTGCTGCCTCAGGCTCCTCCAGGATGGCCACAGGATCCACAGAGGGCAGGCGTGGGCGGCCCAGTGGGGATGGCATTGTACTGGGTGTCTTCCTCTAGCCAACAAGAGGGACCTGCAGGAAAGGAGTGGTTAGGCTGCAGGCCAAGAGGCCATGGCCAGGGTTGGGCAGATAGGCCCAGCCCAGGGTGCTGAGGCTGGTTGTGGGAGGGCCTTGGCACAGGGATACACGAGGCTGGGAATGCTTTGTGGAGGGTCACAGGAGCTGGCTGCTGACAGGAGCTAAAGGCAGAAGAAAACCTTGTGGATGAATGCTTTGGAGGCAAGTTGTACAATGGAGCTTCCATAAAACTGCAGGAAATGATGAAGAGGTAGGCAAAGGGAGTCAACAGAGGATTCCAGGATCTGACTCAGGAGCCAGGGAAAGTGACCACAGAGAAGAGAGGGGAGTGGTCAGTTAGGCAGGACGTTGAAGGAGAGGCAACCAGGGACCGGATGAGACCATCACTTCCAGTGAGCGGAGGCAGTGAAGGTGAGAAGAGGCACAGGCGGCCGTGCAGGCTATGGTGGAGTGTGTGTCCCCATCAACTCCAAGAAGTCCAGATATGTTGACTGAAGTGAGCAACCTGAGGGCCAGCTCTAAGTATAAGGCACGTCTGCGCCATGGGTCGAGGCAGGGGCAGCGCGGACTCCGGGACACCGTGCTCGCTGACCGCAGCGAACTGTGAATGGCTCGCCTTCCGCACCAAGCAGGTGAAAAGCAAAACAAAGCTACAAGTTGCGCGCAGTCGTGAGCGGACACTGTGCCCCTGCCGTCCAGACGGACTGGAGTGAAGCAAGCCCACTTGGGGGACCTATTAGACCAGCCAGACCAGGCCTGACCACCTCCCACCTCCCCACCCGGCCCTGGAGTCGGTCTCCCAACAAACAGGCGAAGGAAGAGGTCAGGCCAGAGGAAGGGGAACGCGGCTCTGGGTGAGAGGTGGAGCGCACAGCGCACGGCGGGAGGTACTTTGGAGTACTAGGAGCACCGGGCGGCCGGGTCCCCCCAGGGGGTGGAAAAAGCTGCGCCCCGCCCAGCCAGGCCGGCGCTCACCTCAACCTCACCGCGGGTGCTAGAAGACCACTTCCGGTAAGGGGTCCTGCCCCGCCCGCCCCTCCGCGCGGTGCCGCGGCGACTCCACCCTGGCCAAGGACGCGCCTGCTCAGCAGGACCCGCCCCCTCCCTTAGGACTACGTTTCCCGTGAGACTCAGCAAGCAAGGACGGATGCGGCCTCCGCCGGCAGATGCTCATCTCCAAAGGTCTCGCACGACCGAGAAGAGCTCTCTTCCTCTTAGAGGAATCTGAAGAGTCGCAGTTTGGGGGCTCCCTCCCCTCATTGGCGACCACTCTTCCTTTATATGGAAGGAACCCTAGACTCACCAACGGCCGTGATGGACGGTATGTTAGGATCCTGCGCATGTGCAGTCGACCCGGAGCCTATTGGCAAGTGCGGTGAATGGGGAGGAGCGTGACCTTACGGCCATTCAGAGCTAGCACCCCACCTAGGCCCCTCCCCAGCGCTCGTCTTAGAGGCTTCGTTCTAGTTGTGGAGCAGTCTTCTTGCTAACCGGTAGAGGACGCCCACCCGCCTCCCTGTTTCCAAGGCAACGGACAGAGCGTCGCCCAGTCCTCCAGGGAGGCCGGAAGTGACTACCAGTGTAGTGTAGTTCGGCGGAGACTCCTTCCAGGTGGTCCTAGGAGGAAGCGGGGTCCAGCCCGCAAGGCCAGCCTGATCTGTGGACAAACCCGAGAGTGATTCCAGTGAGGATGGAGCTGGAGTCCTTCATTCGACCTCTGGACATCGAGAACAAGGACCAGGGTGGGCACTCATTTACACATGAGGAAAATGTCCCATGATCAATACCCTCAGAGTCTCGGACATCACTTCAGATGTCAGTACTGCAAAGTAAGGGATGAAAGTTTTTGTCCAGCTTATGGGACGCCACTAACCTTTTACATTGGGTACCAGACCTAGTAAGAGTGACCTTCAGTTTACCTCAGTATGCAAGAATCACTGTGGCAAAGGGGTGCTTTGCTTCCAGAAACCAAGTAGCTGAACCATCCCAAACTGCATATGCCTGTTTTGATTTCTTGTAATCCCTAGCAGCCAGCACTTCATGAAGAGCAGTGGTTTTACCTGCTGATTGGAAACGCTTGAGTATCTGCATGGCTGGGGCCTGTCTCCTCATAAATGCCGTCAGTCAGAGCTGTTTTATGGAGGACTTAGATTATTTCTCTGAAACTGTACGGATTCCCCACAAATGAGTCTTCCATCATCCACTATATGGAGAAAGCTGTTGCTCTAACAGCTTTAATAGCTCTACCTCAGTCATCTTTTAGATCTCTCCTCCCAGGAGCTGCTGGTTTGCAAGCCTTCTGGATTTATGCAGTATAAGCCTGGTGGGACCTCTGTCTACTTACACAGTGCCAAGTCAGTATCTGACTTTCTCTAAATCATATCCCACATCTGCATCTACTTCTAATTCCAGAATGCCATTGCTGTTGCTGTTTCACCATCCTCATACTTGTGGGTTCATATTTTTAAACACTCTCATCTCTGTCGCTTCCGTGGCTTTTGGAACCAAATGAAATGCTATGTCCAGTCCACCATCTTGACCCAGAGGGCTCAAGGGCACTTATACACTCAGCCTGTTCAGGATTAAAGAAATGGACTAGCCTGACAAGACAAGGCTTAACATGACCACAGAAGTTTAGATGGTAATGTGATGCCCAAGACACCAGGGAAGGCAGGTAATCATTGTTACTGTTCCCATAAGACTAGGGTGTGGCCACTGACAAGTCTTAGGTATTGGGAGGGGTGGACTTGAGAATAGAGGAAGTGAGGGATTGGAGGAGCCAAGCACACAAGCGTGAAGTTCAATGAAGTGGGGAGGAGACTGATGGGGAGATGGCTTAGGACATCAAGCCCAACTCAAGGGGTCATAAGAGCTCCAGGAGCTTCCATCCAAGATGCAGGAAAGGTTGCATGACTTGCTGAGTACCCACTTGGTGTTTTGAAGATGCCTTTGCTCCTGAATCCCATCGGCTTCCAAGACATATCAGTCAGATGTTTGCATTTCACAGCTTTGTAGCCTGAGGCTGTTAACTACTCAAGGCACATTCAAGGAGGCCCTTCTGAGGGAAGGTAAGATGTGGCTGAGGCCAGGGTGTACCAGACCACAGGAGAAAAGGATGACTTGGGGGGGGGGGCAGGGTAGTGGCTCAGAAGTCTGTAAGGAACTAAGAAGCCTGGCACATAAGACCTGCATCTAAAGGTCTGGGAGCAGGTCCAGCAAGTCTCTTGTCTTTGTAGGAGCTATGAGGTTCCAGAAATCAGCCTGGCGCTGCTGGGAAGATGGGAGTGAGAGAGCAATAGGTCTGTGGTCACTGTATATAGCACACGGCGGCCAAATCTTACAACTGGTGGGATAGAGGACTCACCAGGCTGGACTCCATATTTCTAGCCAATTGGTGACCCCACCACTAAATCCCCTGGCCTGGACCATAAACAACTCCTATCCAGACAGAGGCCCTGTTTGGGGCCCTAGGCACACCACCCAGCCCAGACCTCCTTGGATACTCCTACACCTATGACTACCAAGGGGATAACAGGTATCCCAAATCCTCAGTGAGCCTCAGACTACACATCTACCCTTTGGTCTTTCAAAGAGACATGGCACAAAATAAGGTCCCTGTATATTGGGGAAACACACTGAAGGCATGTATGCATTGTGCTACGATGAAACAGGCATCAGACTGTTACTGTGCACGTTTGAAAATTTTTATCTGAAAACCTCTCTGGATTGTGTTCTTAAACCCTTCTGAACCATAATCTGGAGGCTGGGAGAGGAAGCCAAGGCCGAGCACTTCCACACTGCTGTGCAAGGATTTACACAATATACGTCCATTCCAACTTCTACTTTTGGGTCTTTTCTTTTTTGTTCCCAAGAGTCCACTAACATCCCTGGGAGTAAAGCCTCAGGTCACGATGGACGCTGGTCCGCTGAGAGCCACAGAGAGAAACCTGGGCCCCACCCCACCCATCTGATTCAGTGTACCAGCCATGTGGAGGTGTCCCACCATGGGAGGGTGCACACACATGGCCTTAGGGAACGGCAAATCCCTTTTCCACTTGAGGCAAGAGAACAGGTGGACACCTGTCGACCAGACTCTGCAGAAACAAGTAGTCCCATCTGGTCTCTTCCAAACCTGTTATGATCACCTCTTCTCAGGGAAGTGGGGATATAAAGGCTCCTGTAAGGGAGCCTTTGGTAACAAGAGGATGTGGCCAATCCTGAGGCTTGGATGAGAAACTGAATGGAAGAGCATGGCTGAAGAGCCATCATTCTTGATGTTGGTCTCCCTCTCCCCAACCCAGGGCCCTCTACCTCTACTTGCTCCACCGTCTGTGGGAGTTCTAGGTGCAGGTAGCCAGGCCTGGAATCACCCAGCTCTCACACTGGCAGACTAGAGCATGGGTGCCAGAGCACGGGGGCAGAGTGCTGAGCTCGGGATGCTGAGCCTATGGCCAGGAGCCATGTCCTGGCTCTGCTGTGTGCAACTCACATCCCCTCTCTCTGCCGCAGTTTCCTCATCTGAGAAATGGGGTACCAACCACAGCAGCCACCTCACAGGGGTGGCAATGGGCACATGTTGGCCCTTATCAAGATCCTGCCTATCAGGGTCCTGCAGATACCCTCGGTAGGCCTGAATCTCTCTCTCCCTCCCTCCCTCCTTCCCTCCCATTCTTTTCCGGAGGTGGAAGCTGAGACTTAGAGCCCAAGGCCAACACCAGACAGCACATGACCTCCTACCCCCTGGGTCTGCTCACAGGAGGCCTTGGATGAAGTGAGGTCTTGAAGGAACATCCTGAGGGTCAGCCTGGCAGTCACTGGTGTACAGACGTGGGAATCTTCTAGGACCGCCTCCCCAGCACTCCAGGCCTCCTCCTCCTCACCTGAGTACCCACGTCATAATAGGCATGAAACAGCACTCTGCCAGGTCTTTGCCCTACCAAAGTCCCAGCATCCACACAGCCCCCTGATATTTCTGCAGCCTGACCGTTGGGATGACCTGTGGCTGAAATGGCAAACATCATCACCATGTGCAGATGGAACCACGGTACACGGCCATGTCTTCTCCAAAATGTGGATGTGTGGGAGACACAGGTGTTTAGCAACCAGCTGTGAACTCAGGCTTCAGCAGGCTTTGAAACTGTGGCTGGACCTGAAGTGGGAGTGGGCCCAGCTTCCCTCCCCAGTGAACCCTCTGATGATGCTCCCAAAGAAGGCCTGGCCTGGGGGCACAGGCCAGTCCCACGCCGCGGTTTCCGCACAGGTTTCTCTCCTGTGTGGATCCTCTGGTGGTGGAAGAGGGCTGGGCGCTCTCGGAAGGCACGGCCGCAATGTGTGCATACAAAGGGCTTCTCACCCGTGTGGATGCGTCGGTGGCTGAGCAACACTGCGCCCTTGGCAAAAGCCTTCCCGCAGTCCCCACAGCGGAAGGGCCGCTCACCCGTGTGCAGAAGCTGATGCTGCGTGAGGTTAGAGCTGTGACTGAAGGCACGGCCACATTCTGCACAGGCAAAGGGCTTTTCGCCTGTGTGCACACGCTGGTGCTTGAAGAGTGAGGAACCCTGGCTGAAGGCAGCACCGCAAAGAGCACAGGTATAAGGCTTCTCACCCGTGTGAGTGCGCTCATGCTGGATCAGGTGTGAGTTGCGGCAGAAGCGGCGGCCACACTGGGCACACGCGTAGGGCCGCCCACCTGCGTGGATTTTGCGGTGCTGGCTGAGGTTGGACCCATGGCTGAAGGCCTTGCCACACTCGCTGCAGCGGAAAGACTTCTCAGCTGTGTGTATGCGCTGGTGTCTCACCAGGGAGGAGCTATGCCTGAAGGCCTTACCACAGGCTGGGCATGCATAGGGTGTCTCACCACTGTGGATGCGCTGGTGCTGCGTCAGGTGTGATGTCTGGCTAAAGGCCTTGCCACACTGAGCACATTCATATGGCCGCTCCCCAGTGTGGGTGCGCAGGTGCTTGAGCAGGTCGGAGCTCTTCACGAACACTTTGTTGCATGCCCTGCATTCAAAGGGCTTCTCCCCTGAAAGGAGGCCAGTGCCTGTGTGGAGGGCCTTTCCCAGCTGATGCCAGGTCGGGGGCTCCTGGCCAGCAGGGAGTCCATGAGGCTTGCGGCTAGCTGTACCCTTACCACCTTGCCCAGAGGTGAGACCAGCCTCAAATTCTGGAATTTTGGGGAAGGCTCTCCCACGGGCCTCCCGCCCATATGGCTTCTGACCCCCACATGCCCTCAGCTGCTTGCCTGGCACGGGGCGGTTCATAAGGGCCTTCTCCCTGGGTGAGCTGTCCTCAGCCATCCTCAGTGGAGAGGTCAGCCTGAGGCTGACACTGGCCTCCCCACTGCCAGGACCCAGCAGGAGCCGTTCCCAATAGATTACAGACACCCCTGTGGGTTTTTTCTCCTGAGAAGGGGAGATGCCCTGCCAGTCCTCCAGGCTTTTCCCACGATCACACATGCCAGTGAAGGGAAGGACCCTTGTAGGCGCTGGACGGGAGCCATCATGGAGGGCCCCTGGCAGCGCTGCTTCTCCAGGAACCACCCTGTCGTATGCCAGATGACGGGAACCTGAAGGCACAGAAATGGTGGATCCTGGGTCATCCTGGCCAGAGGGGATGGTTGGGGCATGCCTAGGGGTCAGGCAAAGGAATGCTAAGGACTGGGTGTGCAAGCTGGGGAGAAACGCAGTGGCCAGATACCAGTGTATGTACTTCACTTCTGTCCCAGGGGACTCCTCAAGCCTGCTTTTGTTCCTTACACAGATAGCTACCTGATGCTATAGGCCCTACTCTCAAACCCTGTCCCTGCCTGTGCCGCCACCGCGCCCCCCCCCCCCACTGCCTCTCCCATAGTGTGGCCACAGACTGTCCTCGTAAAGGCTGTGGCCCACTGCCTGGCATGGGGTACCCTGGGATCTCCCCCTTGATGGGCAAGCCAAGGCCAGAGCCTCCAGGAGTGGCTGATGGTTTAAGGAGGACGGGAGAGAGTCAGGCAGGAGGTGGGAGATGAGAGCCTCCAGGAAGGCAGGGAAAGGGGACAGAAGCGTGGCGGCAGATGGGCCCAAGCTCACTGCCTCTGAGTCCCCACTCACCAGGGCTGGCCTTCCTCTGAGCATTCCTGGCTGGCATCACAACTGTCCCACTGAGAACCCAGGGCTCCTCGCCACGCTCAAGCTGCATGACTACCCGGGGTCGTGACGCAGAGAGCCCTGTAAGAAAAGACAAGCAAGTGAGGGGCTAGACCCAGCTCAGGACAACCTACCGCCCAACAGATGGGAGAAGTCAGGGCTTTATGGGGTATAGATGGTGTCATCTGTGCAACCAAGAAAACCACGCCACATGGCAAGACTCACAGGAAGAGTTCAATGGTCCCTGTGAGGAGAACCGTGTTGGCAGCACCAGATGAAAGGGGCCGAGCCTGGACACAGAGGCGCCACAGCGGCACAGGGACACTCAGCCAGCTGGTATGAGGCTGCTCATAGGCCAACAGGAGATAAGGGGTTAGTGCTGGCAACAACAGAGCTTCCCATGGAAAACCCAGGGCCTTACCCAGTGAAGCCACAAGTGCGAAGTTCTCTAGCATCACGTGGCAGTACAAGGCCCTCTGGGCTGCATCCAGGAGCTCCCATTCCTCCTGGGAGAAGTACACGGCCACATCCTCAAAGGCCATCAGGCTCTACAACAGTGGGCAGGGGAGGATGGACACGATCTAAGCTATGGCTGATGACGACCCAGGACCCACCTCCCTGTCCCAAGGGCTATCTTTCCCAATATCCCTCAGAGGCTTACCTTGCTCCCCCTCACCCTCCTCTCCCCAGGCTCTGCAACTCTGCAGATGCAACTTCCCTCCTCTTTCCTAAACCCTACCTGTCTAGGGCATAGATGCCTTCTCGGCCTTCTGACTGGCCACTTACACAAGGCAGGCAGAGCTAGCTCTCGACCTTCAGATGGCTACCACCCCAAAGGCAGGCCCAGGTGCACACTCATGCTCCAGCCTTTGCACAGACTGACCTCCCCAGACATACCCTTAACTGTTCCTGGAATTAGCAATTGTACAAGTCCCAGCTATGGACCCTGCAGGACATGCCCATGCTCGTAGGGATGCCCCCTTCTGCTGAACTTGCCTGACATCCCAAGACTGCTCCTTCAGCATGAATGACTGGCCCGGCTGATCCCCTCCAGTCACTACAGGAGGGGCCCCAAGGATCTGGTGGGCACACAGGAAGCCGGTTCCACCCTCCCTCCAAACTATGGTCCCTCCCCCATTTCCTTGGCCAAAACCCTGCCTTCAGCCACTAGCCAAGCTCCACCCCTCTATCCCCCACCAAGAGCCCCAGGGGCTACCAGCCTTTCTTCATCTCCCTGGAGTGCTACCCATCCCTGGCCGCATCCACGAGATTCCTTCCTAAGTTTGATTCCCAGGCCTTGCCTTGGCTCAGAATGTCAGGCCCCTATCCTTAGACATCTGCAATTCCCGATCCACACCATACCTCCACCCTGGGACATCACAGACTCCCTGATCTTACTCCGCAGCCTGCTTTCCCTTCAAATTCCCGTTCCTGTCTACAGCACCTACTTTCCTCTGGGTGCTCAGGCCAAAAAACTTGGGACTGTGTTCTACTAGGGCCACCGGCTCACACGCAACACCTGAGACCTCAGACCCACGGGAATCCAACCCCTTTCCCGTCTCCGCTGGCCCAGTGTGCCTGCAGCAGGTGCCGTCTTCGGCTACCCGGACTGTGGCAGTGCCTGCTCCGTGCACACGGCCACTCCCGCTCTGCGCATTTCTCCGCCAAGGAAACGGTGGGATACTTTAAAAATCCTAACTTAAAGCAAGTCCAGGCTCTGTTCGATTCCTCCCCGGGCCCCGACGCAACTCCTCAGCCTGCTATTTCTCTTCCTTGCTCACGTCTGGAAGCTCAGTTCCCGAAGCACCTAGGCTCAGTCTCCCCTCCCAGCTTTTGCCCGTGTGGGACCCTCTGCTGGGAACTTCCGTCTACACCTCACTCCTTTGGCTGCCAGAAGTGGGGATCTCACACGTGCAACGCTCCACTGGCCTGAGCCCCCGGGCCTAGGACGGACCGGGAGGGGAGACAAAACGTCAAAGTAAAGTCCTTCCCTGAGTCGAGGCTCGGGTGCCTCGAGGAGGGAGCAGGCGGTTGGTGGTCTTACGCTTCCTCTACCCACCTGTGCGGGCTCTGTCAGCGCCGCGGTCGCCATCAGAACCCTTGCTTGAGGACGCGCAGAAAGCGACCCACAACGCGACGTCCCGGCTCCAGGCCTCAGTCTTCCCGTCGTTCGAGGGCACAGACGCCCAGGACGCCGCCGCCCCTGCCGCCCGGGGGTCGGAGAACACGTGACTCTGGGCACCGCCCCACAGCCTTGCGGGGCGTCCCAGGCTACACCCGGAGAAACCCAGGCTCGGGGGACGCGACCGTCGCCCACGATCACGGCGTGCGCGTTGCGGCCCTCCGCTCGCGCCTTCCTCGCAGCCCTCGCCTTGGGTCTCCAAGCCTCTGGAAAACCGACCCGGGTCGGTCGCGCCTCAGTCCCGGACACCGGTGTGGCCCCACGCCCGGCAGCAAAGTGACAGCCCCCGGACGCCGGAAGTCCAGCCTCCGCAAGCCGTCATTGGCCCCATGAGCCCTGCGGACGCACGCGCGGCGCCTTCTGGGAAGCGTAGTTTCCGCCGGCTCGGCGGCCAGTCGGGCGGTACCCTTGCCCACGCCTCTGGCGACCGTCAGGCATCTCCGCGCAGCGCTCTGGGAGATGGGTTCCCGCAGGCACGACCCTGCTTCCGTGGGCCCACGCGCGTGAGGTGGGGAGTCGCCCGGCTGGGGGGCCTGCGCTCGGGGTCCTGGGATCCCGGCGTGCACCCAAGCGGCCGCCGACACTAAATGCTGGACGCGCAGAAGCGGAAACTGCTGAGGTCCCGGGAGGCGACCCCAGCCTGGGGCTTTAAGGACAAAGCCTAGTGTCGTTGCGGGCTGGGTGTGTGCGTGTGCGAGGGTTGGCGCTTTGGCACCGAGCCTGGCAGTGCCCACCCCAGCGCTGCCTCTGGAGGCCTGGGCTCGGGTTTGGCCTCTCTGTGTCCTGTGAAGGGTTAATATCACTTTTGCAGCCTCTACCCCAAGGGCTGCAAGCCCCCAGCCTAAATTTTTCTTGAGTTTGACTTGTTCTCTGAGACGTCCCTAACCCATCTGTTTACCTTACTAAACTGGACCGCGCAGAATGTATTTTCCCGGACTTGCTTGTCTTTGGGTCGTCTGGGTGTTGTTGGCACATCACGATATTGATTCCTCGGTGTCTTTTCCTCGGGACCAACCTGAGTGTCTGTCACACCTAAAAACAAAAGGAAAGGCCGTCTCTGCACACGGGTGACTGCTGGCAGAGAAGAAGAGGTTTTCCCTCTGTTGCTCCACTGGGACGATTTGGTTTTTTTCAGGGTCGGTAATCTGCATGGATAAGGTGGTACAGTCATGTTACCCACCGCATATTACCCACTGCTTTAAGGAAATATGGAATTAATGTGTGTCAAGGTCGTTCATTATTCCTGCCTCCTTCTATATGCATCTATCTCCGCTATAGATGCTCGCTTTGAAAGAGTTTAAGAAAATCTAACATATTAATCTCGTGACTTATTCAGAAGCTTAGAGGCATTAACATTTCAAGCGCTGTTTGAATGTTTGGAGACATTTAATTTCTTTAAAACTTCGTATTTTAAAATTATCCCTATAACGTGTAATTAGTTAGACTAGAAGGATCTTGATTGCCTACTATTTAGAGAAATGCTAAGTGTTTGGTAAACTCACAATTTAGTGAATTGGAAATGAAATAAAAATGGCAACAAGTCGTCCTCTGTACACAGAGTAGCTCCATATCCCTGATTCAGATCTCACCCTGAACAAGATTGCACTGCCAGGTGGCTGGCGGTGGGAGGTTGTGGGGGGTATGGGGAGGGGGTTGTCTGGGGCCGGTGGTGGGACCCTAGCTAACCTGGTTGGACTTCTGTGAACCCCTGTGTCCTCATCTGTGAAACAGATAGTAATAAGCATTTGCATTGTGCTGAATTGTGCTGAGCATCCATTCTTTCCTTGGCTGGGTTGAGCCTGCTGATGAGCCAGTTGAAGGCACTCTTCATTACTACTAGTGTTTTCTATCTCTAGCCTTAACTTTTGATCTTACCTTAGAGTTTCCATCTCTCTGCTTACATTATCCACCTATTCCTGCATTTTGTCTACTTTTTTTCCACTAGGACCCTTAACATCTTAATCATAGTTATTTTACATCCTGTGTGATACTCCCAACCTCTGTGTCCTATCTGGTTGTCATTCTGATGATTGCTTTGTGTGTGCTCAGCCTGTTTTTTCTTGCCTTTTGATATGCCTTGTCATTTGTTGTTGAAAGCGAGAAATATGTTTGGTAACAGGAGCAAAAGTAAACAGGAGGTTTGGTAATATGGATTGAAGTAGGACTGTACTTAATGTTTGTTGTAACTATGGGTGCTAGAGGCTTCAAATTCCTCTAGTGGTCTAGTTTTTGTCTGTTCTGTAGACTTTGTGCTCTGGTAAGTGTTCTTCTCCAGAGAGAGTCCGTGTCTTGCATCTCTTTTAGTTGTAATCCTCTGTTACACTGGAATTCCACTGATGTGTAAAGGGTGAGAGGGGAGAGGATCATACTAAATCTTCCAATGAAATCCCAATCTTTAGTAGCACTGTGTCTGAGGAGCATATCTCCACCACCGTAGTTTCTTTCTTTCATTTTTTCTTCCTTGACCCCAACTGCCTTCCCTGGCTACAGCATTCTCAAAGTATTTGCTAGAAACCCTCGCCCCTGCGATCTCTCTCACTTAGGTGAGAGAAGAAGGCTAGAGGGACCTGTAGTGGGAGCAATGTCCTTCACCCAGCTGGAGATGGCTCTAGCAGCTTTATTCCTGGTAGTATATGTCTTTGTAGGGAAGAGGCTCCGAGTATATTTCATGAGATAGTTATCTTTCTGGTCATATTCAATCTTGTCTCATGTAATGGGAGCAATGTCCTTCACCCAGCTGGAGATGGCTCTAGCAGCTTTATTCCTGGTAGTATATATCTTTGTAGGGAAAAGGCTCTGGGTATATTTCATGATGGTTATCTTTCTGGTCATATAACACCTGCTCTTCCCCTGCTCCATGCTAACAGCTGAAAAAACAGAGACATGCCAGTTAACTGAGTGCATATTGGACACAGCCAGGATGGAGTCCATGGGGTCACTGCCCAGGGGACAGGAATTAGGCTTGACAGCCCAGACTGGGAGACTCTGCGCAGGTGCAAGTACAAAGTGACATGATAGGTCCCTTGCTCACTTATCTGTCTGGGCAGTTTGGTACAGCCTTAGCCTCTGGTGGCAGAGGAGCACCATGTTGGGCAGCAGGTCTTGGTCTTTGGAAAGAACAAATGAATGTCATCAAATAGCATGTTAACAAGGCATTTCAAAGACATGTGACCAAGTGAGGACACAATAAGGGGACACTGGTGTTGGGGGACCTGAGAGAAAGAGATGAGGGATGAGGGGAAAGGGTGAGATATGAGGTCACAGCAAGGGGCTGGGAATCAGGAGAGACCAGCAGAGTGGGAGGATGTTCTGCAATGTCTAGTGTTTAAAAAGACACAACAAACCCAAAGGGAGTAATTTACTTCCATCAAGACAGCAAACCAAGACACAGTTGAACCAAAGTACCTAAGTAATACAATGTGTGTTGGTTCCTTAGTGTATATGCAAGCTCCCTGTCTCCACACCCTAATACACTGAATAAAAAGCCTGCTGGGCGCCTGGGTGGCTAAGCTTCCGACTCTTGATCTTGGCTCAGGTCATGATATCAGGGTCTTGGGATCAAGTTCTGTGTCGGGCTCCATGCTCAGCAGGAGTCTGCTTGTCCTTCTCTCTGCTCCTCTCCCAGCTTGTGTTCTCTCTCTCTCTCTCAAAAAAAAAAAAAAAAAAAAAAAAGCTTCCTGTACTAACCCTACAGGTACACAGTGCCCTGGTTTCTTACTTATTTAGTAACAAGTAATTGAAAAGTTCTTTAACACTTCCTTGGGTTGTGTTCAATTTAATGCACGCTAAGCATGCATTAAATCCCTTGAGTTTGGTTACACTTTGACAAGGTAGCATACTTGTGTACAAACAGTCCAAGTGGGATCTTTTTTGAAATACAGGCAAGCCTCTTAGCATGGTATGCATTCTTAGAGGCCTCAGCATCCACAATTAGGGACATGCAAGAATTATTCCCTCCTAACTTTGTGAAGAGAAAGGTCTACACTGTTTCGGAGTGGCAGAATCAAGTGAGATGTTCTGTATCTGGTGTTTCCAAGCATGTGATTTCCACATGCTTCAAACTTGCATAAAATATATGCACATGTCCAGCTGGATGCAGAATGCAACATGGAGGGGGGCTACCGGGTGGTTCATTCAGTTAAGCATCTGACTTCCACCCAGGTCATGGGTGGAAGTATGGAGCCCCAAGTTGGGCTCTCCTCCCCGTTCAATGGGGAGTCTGCTCTTCCCTTCCCTCTTCCTCTGTCCCTCCCCTGTTCATGCTCCCTCTCTCTCTCAAATATATATATATATATATATATATATATATATATATATATTTTTTTTTTTTAAAGCAACATGGAGGAAGAGGAGTCAGCTTAGGCCCAGGGTAGGTCAGTCTCACCTAAGTTTGCAGGTGGGTTCCTCTGACCATAACCTGTGTGATAATGGGCCTCGATGTCCCCTGTCTGTGATTTAAGTTTCTTCACATCTAAAATACTGGACTAAGAATGCACAACTCGAGGTTGTTGGGAGTATTCACATTCAGCTCCTGTCCCGGGCAGCCTTGCATTAATGTTGGGCACCTCTGTGACTTGTGGAAATCACCACACCTGTCTTGGGCCACATCCCTAACAGTGTTACAGCCTTCTGTACCTGGGAGTCAGAAAGTGTCTCTAGCCACCAACATCCTCTCACACTCCATCCTAGTTCAGAGGGTTCTATTCTTGACTGCTGTAGGAATCATAACCTCATTTGCTCCTACCTTTCATTTCTCAGGGCAGCTGGCTGCTGTAGTGGGAGGTGATTTGGAAGCTGGCACTGCTGGCCATACCCAGGTGTCCAGCCTGGTCATAGGAATAGGGAGAGGGATTAGCCCAAGCCCCTAGACCAAATTACCTGGCATCAGGGTTCTTCTGGTATAAAAGCATGGCAATACAAACATGATACATGGAGCTTTCAAATAGCAAAACTAAAACAACGTATCAATGGGTGTCATTTTTCCTATTCAAGGGAAACAAGAGTGTGAGTATCTAGTACCTCATAAAAAATGTAGCATCTTTCAAGCTGCATTTTTTGGGGGGGGCCCAGAGAAATCAGTGACCTTTATCATGGTCCATTTTGTTTTAGATAGTGTTAGTAGCTTTTCACATATTCACTCATTTATACCTAAGGACTCCTGTGAGGTGGGTACAGTTGTTGCTGCTGTGTACCTTTCCCAGGACCCCTCTGGAGCAATAGTGTGTCTGGATACCAGCTTGCTCTGGGATTCTTGTCCTGTATTGCTGCCCTCTTCCACTTATG